TAGGGTCGGGCCCAAACAATTACACCTTCTCCTACGCGAAAAAGGACACTTTTCCCGGACAGGACGTGCGCGGCCGCGCTTGGACCGCGCATATCCACTTTGATTCTGCCTGATGAGCGCGGCCTGAGCGCGGCCGCGCACTTGACACGCACATTTCACCCTGTTCTGTTTGGAATTTGAAAAAACGTAAAACATGAAAGTTGTAGCCCTTTGAGTTATCTTTCCAAACATATATTGTGGAGCCCAAATGGAGTTCTGAGCGAAAAGTTTTGTGCATTTTACTAGACAGTGCGCAATATGCCTACTCGATTCTTCGTTTCGTTGCTCTATCATCCGTTGATCACCAAACACGATCCCGGCTTAATAGGGTGTTTGGATTTGCTTTTAAGCTGGTCAAATTAGCTTTTAAGCACTTTTTAGCTTTTTGCAGTGTTTGGCAAAGTCAAAAAGTGCTTAAAATAAGTTAAAAACTGCTTAAAACAAGCCAAAAGCAATAAGTTGGGCAATCCCAACTTACTGCTTTTTGGCTTAAAAGCTATTTATGCTGAAAAGCTACTTTTTTTAAGCCAATCCAAACGGGCTCTAATTCCTTGAGCTTTTACTCAGACTTCAAAGCTACAAATCACTTGAATTCATTCTATAACATCTACATAGCTCGGAATCACTCCTACAAGGCATAAAATACACCATTAGTGCAAAACACTCGCGATTAAAGCTCAAACTCAATTAAAGTGTAGTAAATTGGAATGTATAATCGACTAAAATACGTAATTATAGCCTATCATCACACCGCTACATGTTGACAATGATTCCGGCCACCATGAAACGACAACATAGCACCCGGAAACGATGTGCCCCCAGTCGACCTCGGCGGAGTCCCGGCCACAGACCCAATCGACGTTAGCTCGCATGTGGCCATCGACGCAAATTTGCCCACCGATCCTGAGGACAACGTCCGTAGGGATGTTCGATCGGTTGCACAAAGCACACACGACGGCGAAGATGGTGGAATCAACTTGCGAGTAATCTTCGAAATACTACAGGCTCAGCAGGCGGCAATAGCCCAGCTCCAGAACTAGAGCCGCCCGCCAAGTAGGATTGAGCCCGAATCATCTTGGGAAGTTGTTCACAGAGATGAACCGGTCTCAGAGAGATCGAATGAGAAGGAGTCGGGGACCAACCCAGTAATCATTAAGATGCTCGAGGAACTAACAAAATGGATATAGTCGGGGGAGAAGAAAATCGAGGCAAACGATAAAAAGGTGGAAACCTACAATTCCAGGGTTGATCAAATTCTAGGAGCGTCGCCGATATTGAAGGGCCTGGACTCCAAGAAGTTCGTACAAAAAGCCTTTCCTCCGAGCGCGGCTCCCAACCCGATTGCTAAGAAGTTTTGCATGCCCGAGATTTCTTAATACAACGGAACGACCGATCCGAACGAGCATGTTACCTCCAACACATGCGCCATCAAAGGGAATGACTTGGAGGATGATGAGATCGAATCTGTCTTGCTACAGAAATTCGGAGAGACCCTATCAAAGGGAGCAATGATATGGTATCACAGCTTACCTCCTAATTCTATTGACTCATTTTCCATGCTTGCAGATTCTTTCGTGAAAACACATGCCGGAGCTATTAAGGTCGAGACCAGGAAGTCGGACCTTTTTAAAGTAAAACAGAAGGATAATGAAATCCTCACAGAGTTCGTGTCCGGGTTTCAAATGGAACATATGGATCTGTCACCGGTGGCTGATGATTGGGCCGTTCAAGCTTTCACCCAAGGATACAATGTTCGAAGCTCGGTGGCTTCGCAACGGTTGAAGCAGAATCTGATAGAGTATTTGGCTATTACTTGGGCTGATGTGCATAACCGATATCAATCGAAAATCAGAGTCGAGGATGATCAACTTGGGGCCCCTCGTTGGGGCGTCCTTTCAGCATCTGAGCCTAGTTGATCATGGAATTGGTAAACGAAGGCGACTCGGAGAGATCTATCACTCCAAGTACGTCCTTTAGGGCATTATCCTCTGCCCGAGAAGCACCGGCCGCGGTGTCCTTGTCGGCCTCCCTAACTTGGGGCAAAACAGTCTCGCCCCTCTCTGGTTCGGAGGCTTCGGCCACTTCCTCTTCATCGGCTCCCCTGATTTGAGGCTTCTTGCCCCTCGAGATGCGACGACACTCGATGAAACTCTTCTTCTTCTTCTTCTTCTTCTTCGGACTCGTCCCTCCGCCGGTGGAGTGAGTCCGATGGGAGCTCTCGGGCGCTGGTGCTTTCCTTGGATTTGCGCACCGGCCTCCTCCTCGGCTTTTTCTTCTCCGAGTTCGGAGAACTCGGAACCCTTTTTCTCTTCTTCTTCTCACCCTGTCTCGGAGCTTGGGACTCGGCGGGGCAACCCACGTCACCAGATGGAGGCCTCATTGCGACATCCTTGGAAAGACCTGCAAACAACAACAACAACAACAACAACAAACCCAGTATGATCCCAACAGGTGGGGTCTGGGGAGGGTAGTATGTACGCAGACCTTACCCCTACCTAAAGCAGGTATAGAGGCTGTTTCCAATAGACCCTCGACTCAGGAAGGGTAAGAAGAAGAGGAAAGCAAGGAAGGAAGAAAGAAGGAAGCGAAAAGAAAAAGGGAGAGATAAATGATAAGTAGTACCAAATAATAGCAACAGGGAATACAATACCCTTAACCTTCTACCTGCAAAGAAAAAAGAAATGAGTAAGAACTCAGCAGCACGAAGGAAACCTAAGTAATGTCCACTCAAGAAAGGAATCTCACCATGAGAACATGCCTCCTACCGACCCTTCGAAAGTTTAAGCCATGCGCGCTCAGAACATGGCTTTTAAGATACAATGCCGTCAACCCACTCCCTGGGTCGAGGGACTGCGTTCGAGACCCGAGCAACAGCTGCACCACCACCAAACACCGATAAGAAAGAAGGAAAAGAGAGTGAAATAAAATCTTGGAAAAACAAAACTTTACTTACGTTTTGTGTTCCACTTCTCGGGGAACATCATGTACTCTGCTGGGATCAGGTCCGAGGTCCTCACTCGGACAAAACGGCCAAGCCAAACTCGATCCGGGTCTTCATCGATGCTCGAGAACGGGACTTTACTAGCCCGGCGTGCAAGTTTAATCAGTCCCCCCTCCCCCCGAAAGAGTCGAGGACTGTATAGGCGCATAAGATGGTCGACGGTGAACGAGCATCCGTCGATCTTGCTCACGAAGAACCGGAGAAGAATGACGATCCTCCAGAACGAGGGGTGGATCTGACCAAGGCACACCTCGTACCTTTTGCAGATGTGGATGATTACCGGGTCCAACGGGCTCAGCGTAAAGGGATAAGTGTAAACACTTAAGTATCCCTCGACGTGGGTAGTGATATCTTCATCGGGCCCGGGAACCACCACATCCTTGCCGACCTTGTTGTAATCCTTTCTGATCGTAGGGAGAATTTCTTCGGTGATCGAGCAGATGTACCTCGAGACCTTCTCACACCGGCCCAGAATAGGTGAGGGTTTTTCAATATTAAAATCAGCAGTCACCGAGCACCCGCCAGGAATAAACGTGCTAAGAGGAGGTTCCGCCGCTGGTTCCTCACCGGCCGACCGTGATGTAGAAGTAGTTTCTTTTTGGGGAACTGTTTTTGAAGTCTTCGCCATTTCTTTTAAATGGAGGGTAAAAGATGAAAAAGCGGAAGTTAAAGGGATACACTTGATGGCTTGGAATGAAGACGAGCAAAAATCCTTACAAAGATCTCGAGAAACTAGGGTACAAGTGCTAGAAAATATAGAGATTTCTACGGAACACGAGTAGAGAAGGTTTGGTTGTAAAGTTTGAATGAATGAAGAAGTGGGTATTTATAATTTTCAAACGACGGTTCAAATCCATGAGTGGCCGACGAATAACTGACGAGCATTTAATGCCATTAAGACGTGACTGACGAGAAGTTTCGTTCGTCTTGTCGTTTCTGACGCGGAGTATCGAGGTGAGAATCGGAAGCTCATATCGTTTATCGTTTTTTACTCTCCGAAAAACGGCGGGACTATCTGTATACGGTCGAAATCGGACTCGTCTACTGCATGACAGATCGGGCGCAGAACGTGAGGGATTGAAGATCGACCCCGAGTCTCACCGAACCAAAACACGAGGTCAGAATGTCCGTCCCCGAGAACATTGAGTCCATGATCCCGGAATTGACCTTGACCACGGATGAGCTCGAGGAAACATTGCCAATATAACTAACAGAAGACCGAAATAACAGAAGGGCCGAAATATCCGTAACCGGTCGAGTATCACGGCGGGAATCTCGACACGTATCAATAAGGAACCGGCAAATCAGCAAATCAGGAGATTTTTGCTTTTTATAATTGTACCTAAAGTAGGACTCCCCTACTATATAAAGGGGGTCTGATTACTTGTAAACACATTGTAACAATCATTCAGAAGCAATACAATGTTATTTTCTCTTTAAGTTGATATTCAACTGTATCTTAACACTAATCGAAGTACATTCTGGTCAAGGGTGACCCTCCTCCCAAGACTATAACTGTTCAATTCGTGTGGTTTGAATTTACTCTATCATACTTTATTTCAATTGCAATTTAACTTATCACTTTGTGTCAATTTAATCCACGTATCCTTAAAACCACTTGCAAATTCAATTTTTATCCGATTTTGAGGGTAAATAGTAAGAAGGGAAGTGTACAATTTATGAACATAAGAAAGTAGCAAATATATAAGAATTTAGTAAATTGCAATAAGCATAACTAACATCAGCCTCCCAAAAACAATATTAGTCCAATTTAATCGCTTCACCAATGAAGTAATAAACCCTCGTTTTGGATCGATTCATTGCTTTAAGCGACGAAGTCAAAGCTTCTAATAACAACTCCATGCACAGTAAGCAGAGCTAACACTTCAGATAGCCAAACTCTCCTCTATTTACCCAAAACAACGAAATGACAATAGAGGATCCAATATACGCCAAAGGCTGAGGTAAGGCACATGATTGAAAAATTTATTGCTCCATCAATTAAAGAGAAGTATAATTCAAAAGCAAAAATCACGAACAAATCATCTAATTCTGGTGCACAGTGCACTCCAAGTATGAACATAGATTGCCTTCCATGTTTTCTATCGGATCTACAGAGAAAATATAATTACCTACAACAAAGATAAATTTAAGTCAATCTGATCTAATTAGCAGCTGACCTTAGCTTAAATTCATCAAAATTTTGCTCTTAAGCATAGATGACGCCTCTTGCCATGAAGACAGGGGCAAAAGCCACCAACTCCCCAGAATTCCAACAAGAGTAAACTCCTGATCTTTTAGTTCGACCTTAGCCAGAGAGAGAAACAGATAATCTGCAACTTCAACTTTCTTTGCATATAATGACTGCAGGAAAAAGTTTAAGAGGACAGCTACAAGTATCAGTAAGTCACATTAAAAAAATGAGCATATGTTTTCTAACTGATAGGTGCCACACCAGCAGCATCCATCCTCACACTACACCGAGGATCTAAATCACGAAACTAACCTTGAACTTATAGATGAATGGTTGTCGGCGAACTGCTTGATGTCGCAACTGAAATATTTCACATCAAGTGTGAGCAAAACATGTCAGATATCTACCTCTTGATTGAGATGATGCTATATGCACGCTAAAATACAAACTCCATTCACAATTTTTATGTAATAGACAGAGAAGATATATAAAAGGAAACATGTTAATTAATCCAGCACAAAATGACGATGAATCCAGCTATTCTGCCCCTGCTCTAGCGCAGATGAAGGACTTGGACATTATGTATAGAAAGAATGGTCCCTCACCTGTTCGACAAGGACATAAACTGATAAAGGGCTTGGCTTTGTCGTAAGAAGAATAATAGTGACTTTAGTTGCAATAATTATTGGATGGCCCCAGTTCATCAACACAGTAATCACAAACAAGAGAGGAACCAACAGCTTCCTTAAGGTCATTAAGAGAGATCGACGATCTTCTTCAGTATCTGAATCACCGAACAAGCCCAAATGATGGTCATCCAATAGACCATCAAGACCTAGAATGTCAATAGAAAAGAGTAAATATTCACATAAAATTAATTAGACCACACTTTCCTAGGCATGAATAACATGCTGCATTTAGAAAAGATAGCTGGTACATTTATAGAATGTTTAATTCAAATTATCATAACCATAAACTTCTCACCATCAGAAGAATATGCAATGCGAGGAGAAAGCTTAATAGATCCAAGCAAAGCCGACAAACCAAATGCACTCCGTAAAGTGTAACTGCGCCCTACAAGTATACCAACAATGAAACAAAGATCTTCAATACAAATCAGGAATCACAAGTGGTCGTAAAGGCTAACTAAAAATATAGAACAAAAAGTACCAGCAATGTTTTATATCTTTTTGTTGCACAACTTAATAAGAAAAAAGGGGAATTATACTCAATAACTATCAATCGCAACCTACTCAATGATGCAAAAGATAAAGATAAGCTCATTAAGTTATGCCCTCAATTCAAAATCAACTAAACCTTTTATAAATAGGATGGATGCAACTAAAACAACACATTTTAATTAGTGACTAAACATTAGTAAACACTTGATTTACATAATATACCAATTCAACTTTTGTATTTGAAAAAAGAAGAGGAAATTAACATATGCAGATAAAGACATAGATCTTCAGCGATAGATGAAGATAAGCATATCCAGTATTTTCCAACTGATAAACTAGGAAAGAACCATGACACATACCAGTAGTTCTAAGTTGAGTCTGCTTAACTTGAATCTTACACTATATTTGGCTAGAACAAAAGGAGGACGGAAAGTAAAAGTGGAAAGGTAGATGTCCTACAAGTAAACGTTTTCATTACATTTCAAAGTACCATGGAAAAAGCAGTATTTCATTTCTCTTCTATTTTCCTTTATACTATACCAATCTACCTATGCATTGACTACTACATCTTAGGGACGGAGTGACCTAAAAGAGAAGTCTTTCTTTAAAGTTATGAAAATGTAAGCTACTCTCTCCTCTCCTTCTTGGACCAAACATCGTGTTACAACGCCATACTAAATACACCACTTGGGGGCAGCTCTGACTTCCTAATAAGCTTCGTACACAAAAACATCACAACTCTAACAAGCTACACATACAGAGACTATACTCCAAACTTACCTGAATTTTGCATTTTTCTAAAGTAATGGTGGAATGTCTCAAAATTAGATCCCCCAGCGAACTTTAACACCCGACTGTACACCTGAGGCTTTAGGCATCTCATGAAGGTCTTCAAAGGTGCAAATTTTCCATCAACTGCAACAAATTATGAAGTAAAAGAAACAGGTATTTGAATTTGCTACACCTATAAAAGAGAAAAAAGAATGATTCATCAAACTACAAATAGCATGATGACAGTGATTTTAATAATACTCCCTCTACCCCATTTTATGTGGCGCACTTTTAGTCTAGGATGACATCTTTTTTTATTTAGAAACAATTTAACTTTAAACTTTCCATTTACCCTAATGAGATGATTTAGCTGCATAAATGTCTATTGCTTATTTTAAACTACAAGTTTCAGGAGTCTTTCTTTCTTTCTTAACTTCTGCATCCGGTCAAACACCTCACATAAATTGGAATGTGGGTCTGATACCAAATACTTAGCTACTGTACTTTCCATTGGAACTGAATGCAATATTGGTATGTTCCATAAGTTTTACTCCCTCTGTCCCAATTTATGCCATACTTTTGTTTTTAGTCTATCACAAAAAATAAATGACACATTTTTTTTATATTTTTAGATTAACTTTAAACTTCTTAACGAGATGATTTATATTCACATAAATGGGTATGACTTGTTTTAGACCACAAATTTAAAAGTATTTCTTTCTTTCTTAAACTTTGCGTTCAATCAAACAGCATCGTATAAACTAATTTTCATGTAAATTTAAGAGAATAGGAACTTACATGGGATTGTGGAACGAGAGAGATGGAAGTAAGGAGAGGTAATAGAGGCCAGAGAAGTCCCAAATGGCTGTAAATATCTTACTGCATACATTATTTAAAATGAATGTAAAGAGTAATTTCTCAGTATTTCAAGTTTGAAGCTTCATAGGCGTCTGTCGACGGTCGGAATTGTCAACTCCGACAAGAAATTGAACAGAGTAGCTGGATTTGCCAGCCGTAACCAAACGTGTGCGGGCGATTACGACGGAAATCTCGCCGTTTCACCTGCAGTAAAGCCACGCAATTCATTAATATTCAATAATAACAAAAATGGCTCTTTATATTTGGAGTTAGGTTCAAAATGGTCCCTTAATTATATCTGAAATAATTTTACGGCTAAATGGCCCCGTGGCCACTTAAACTTGCAACAGTTTGTAAACTCGATGTATGAACTTAATATTTTGCTGTTTGAACACTCCAACTTGACGAAATGAGTGCTAATAAATACATCCAGCATGTATATCAATTGTGCTGACATATACAACACGCCATATGCTAGTCTATTTATTACTTGACATGTCTTACTTGCGGGTCTCATTTTTAAATACTAAATCAGCAAAAAAAGAAAATACAAATGCTATTAAGAAAAAAGAGCAAAAAAACCTGACACTTCTCTACTACCTAGTAACTCGTACCCACCTTTCTCCCTTCTTCTCCGTTCACCCACATCTCTTCCTTTCCTTGCTCTTTTTCTTTCTTCTCCTTTCTTTTTTTTCATCATTGTTCTTTCTCTCTTATTTCCAAATCAAATTCACAACACCACCGTGGTCAAAATTAGACTAGAACAAAAAAATTTCATTATGAAATTTCAGAAAAAAAATCAATAGAAATCCATGGTTTTAAAATAGTGGAGGCCGCCCAATACCATTGCAACTATCTGCCATTTTTTGTTGTTGTTTTTGTTAGTATACTGTATTTGTAAAATAATTCTAGAAATATAAATGAATATAAACAGAAATGAACATAAACAGAAATGACAGAAAACCAATTCGAGCCCACTGAATTCACAGTGTCTCCTTAAGGAATTTAATCCCCTCCTAGTACCCAAGGTTATGGATTATTTCCTCCCAAGATAGAACGAATTACACACTGGTGTAGTGGTACTTCAAACCCCAGTGTTTCAGCGAACACAAAGTTCGGTAGCAAATCACACTTACTGTTGCTTCTTTTGATGCTAAAAGTATGCAGAAGAAGGAGGAGAAACTCAGAAAACCGTAGTGAAATTCTGAGCAGAATAGTGTTGTATTTATAGCCAAAGTTGGGCTGAAATATGAAGAAGTGCAACTCTTTAGAATGGTTGTTTATGCAAAACGGCCACAACATAAATGCCATTACATAAATTGCCATTTACTCAACAATAAAGAGAAAAAATAAAGAGGGAAAATTAAAGAGGGTAGTTACTTTTCTGTTACCAAAACAGAAAAACAGATTTGGATTTAATATTAATATTTAATATTAATATTCTGTTATTAAAGCAAATATTTAATATTATTTCTGTTAATATTTTACTATTAACAAATAAATTTGGTCCAAAAAGTTAATCAATCAATCGATCATTTGACCAAATCCAAATCCCAATCCGAAGCCGAAGCCGAAGCCGAAGCCGAAGCCGAAGCCGAAGCCGAGCCGAGCGAGCGACGACGAGGACGGCGCGAGGCTTGCTTTCTCCTCAATCCTTAAGAGCTAGAAGAAGAGCAATTGCTTATATACCTATAAAAAACCTCTTCCTCTTCCAATATGGGACAACGTCCATTTACCAAGGGGGGAGGGGGAACTTAAAATTTCACTCATAAATTTCATTTTTCTCCATTTTCCATTCACCCTCTTTTATGTATTTAATATATATTAAATACAAAAACCAAACAATCCCCCACATGAATGGGGAATGGCTATATCACGGAAGTATGCATGAAAAAATGTGTGATTCGCAAGCAAGGATTAATTGCATCAGGATAAGTAGGTTTCCCTTTGAACTTTCCGTAGTGAACTTATGTCGGATATACTCGATCAATCGGTAGATTTGATATCTTTGAACCGTCGAACTTTGGTGTATACCTAGACAACCACAAGTCACACAACCAACCCTTAACCGTCTTTGGTTCTCATTGTTGTGTTCGTTTCAGCCATGAACACCGCCTGGTTTCATAAGTGCGTAAAGAACTGGCCTTACAAAGTTCTCCTTGAAGCGGCTAACACTTCACACTTACATAGGTGATTCCTAAGCGTGTCATCCCGTAGATACACTATTTAATATACCCCGTATCAAATTTAGAAATCATTAAAAAGCCTTAATGCTTTATCCTTGGTACTGAACATTGTCTCATCACGAGAATGGACCAAATATTTATTTGACAATGTTGAACCGTCATTAATGACTTTGTTTGATCTCCTTGAACCTAGATCTTGGGATCTCCAGTCTTCTAGATAGAGTTACCGCCACTATGACTTGTTCTCGGCCACAGTCCCATTCCCCTTGATGACTTCTCAACTACCTCTCTAGTTAGGCCTTTTGTAAGTGGATCCGACACATTATCACTTGACTTTACATAGTCAATCGTGATAATTCCTCTAGAGAGTAATTGTCTAACGGTTTTATGTCTTCGTCGTATATGACGAGATTTACCGTTATACATAACGCTCCCAACCCTTCCAATTGCCGCTTGACTATCACAATGCATGCATATTGGTGCCAACGGTTTGGGCCAAAATGGAATATCTTCCAAGAAATTCTGGAGCCATTCAGCTTCTTCACCGGCTTTATCCAAGGCTATGAACTCAGCCTCCATTGTAGAGCTGGCAATACAAGTTTGTTTGGACGACTTCCAAGATACCGCTCCTCCACCAATAGTGAATACATATCCACTTGTGGACTTGGGATCAGTTGATCCGGTGATCCAATTTGCATCACAGTATCCCTCAATGACCGTAGGATATTTACTGTAGTGCAAAGCAAAGTCCTAGGTATGTACTAAATACCCCAAAACTCGTTTCATGGCCATCCAATGAGATTGACCTGGATTGCTCGTATATCGACTCAATTTACTTATAGCACAAGCTATATCTGGTCGTGTACAATTCATCATGTACATTAAGCAACCCAACACACGAGCATAGTCCAATTGTGATATGCTTTTGCCTTTGTTCTTTGCTAATGCAAGATTCACGTCAATTGGAGTCTTTGCAACTTTAAAGCCCAAGTGCTTGAATTTTTCAAGTACTGTCTTAATATAATGAGATTGTGACAATACTAGACCTTGAGAAGTCTTATGGATCTTAATTCCCAGAATTAAATGCCACGATCCGGATTTCCCACCCTCAGGAGTCGTGATGGCGCCTACTAATGAGAGCTAGGAAAGCCAAATTTGATTACTTTTTCATTAATAACATAATTCCTTTTAACAATTATCGGCAATAATACAAAAGCAACGAAATTAAATAATAAGCGGAAGTCTTAATATTATAGAACCGAATAGAAATGCGGAAAATTCAACAAAAGCCTCTACCCAAGACTGGTGCCACAATACTCACGAACTGCTAAGAATACTAAATACAAACGTGTGAAAGAGAACATAAACTGTTTGTCTCGGATACAATGAGATAACAGACAAAATAAGGGATAGAGGAGACGCCGGGCCTGCGGACGCCTGCAAGGCTACCTCGGGTCTTGCTGGACTGAAGGCCTGCTCCCACACTACTGCTGCTGCTGACCGAAACCCGGATCTGTGCAAAATAGCACAGAGTGTAGTATCAGCACAACCGACCCCATGTGCTGGTAAGTGTCTAGCCTAACCCCGGCGAAGTAGCGACGAGGCTAGACCGGACTACCATATAAACCTGTGCAATTTCATATATATATATATATATATATATATATATATATATATATATATATATAGCAGGAGGGGGAAACATGCTGTGGGGAACAACAATTTCCAAATAAGAGCCGTCCAGTAACAAAGGAAGACAACACAACTCAATCATAAGTAATGATACAGAAATCAACAAGTGCACGGCATCACCCTTCGTGCTTTTACTCTCATACTTACCAAGCAATAACGTGTGCACGGCATCACCCTTCGTGCTTTTACTCTCATTCCTCACATATATCAATAGAATCGGCACGGAATGGTACATCGTGCGGCACGGCATCACCCTTCGTGCTTTAACACTCTTTTCTCATAATAAGCGAACAGTGCACGACATCACCCTTCGTGCTTTACACTGTTTCCTTACCATAAACAAACAATGCACGGCATCACCCTTCGTGCTTTAACACTCTTCCTCACCCAAACAACAATCACAGACAAGGGGCAAGGGAATTAACATTTTATAGTAGAAATCCCGGCAAGGGAACACAATTAAACAATTAGTCCCGGCAAGGGCATAACATCAACAATCTCAACATCCCGGCAAGGGAGCAATTTAATAACTCATTCTCTTCTTTCACCTTCATCTCATAATTCACATTATCACTTGAGCCAATGCTCCAAAGATTTGCTTATCTCATATACTTTCACAAATTTGTATTTCAACTCGAGCCAATGCTCCACGAAGTTTAAGATCACAGTTTCTTGCACATGCCCTTTACAACATATAGAAACCATCAATTAAGCATAGAAGTCATAACATGAACCCAAAATATTCGCAACATAAGGACTCACGGTCATACTAGACACCAATGTATAGATACTCGTCACCATGCCTATACATCGTACTCGACAAATTACCACATAGCAAATAAGACTCAACTCCTATTCCCTCAAGCTAGGGTTAAACCAAACACTTACCTCGATTCATTGAATTCCACTCAAACCTCAACTATAGCTTTACCCCGTGATTCCACCTCCAATCCGCTCGAATCTAGCCACAAATTACTTAATTACTTTAATAAACACTAAATGAATCAATTTGAATGCATAAAAATGAATTTTTCAAAGTTTTGCCCAAAAATTCCAAAATTGCCCCCGGGCCCACGTGGCCAAAACCCGAGGTTCGAACCAAAACCCGGTTACCCATTCCCCCACGAACCCAAATATATGATTTGTTTTGAAATCGGACCTCAAATTGAGGTCCAAATCCCCAATTTTAGAAAAACCTAGGTTCTACCCAAAACCCCCAATTTCACCCATGAAAATCATTGATTTTAAGTGGAAAACATGTTAAATGATGTAAATGATTGAAAGAATTGAGTAAAAATCGACTTACAAATGATTTGGAATGAAACTTGTTCTTGAAAAATCGCCTAAGGAGTTTGAGTTTT